ATTTGTCCTCACCCCCGCTCTGTCTCCCTGGGGTCACTCAGTCCAGCCTGAGGGCCACTTCTAAACCCGAAGTCAGGAGGCAGCGTCTGACTTGCCTGACTTGTGTTTATGGACACAGAGGGTTTGCCCTAGAAGATTGCTGCTCGGAGGTGATCCACCTACCCAGCAGCATCAGCTCACCCAGGAACTTGTTACAAAGGCAGAATCTCAGGCCTCACCCCAGACAGACCCCAGCTGTATGCACATTAAAGCATAAGACACACTGACCTGAAATTCCCGGCCTCTCCTCTGCTCTGGAGCCAACAGGGCTGTGTGTGGACTGAGGGAGGTGCTGCCCACCTTGCCAAAGCCCAATTCTTGGTTCTGGGCACAGCATGGAATGTCCACCTTCTGGGTCCATGGGAGTTAGGAGGGAGAAAGAGCTTAGGGAAGGGAAAGGGAATGAACATTTACTGACCACTGAGTCTGGGCCAGTCACTGTTCAGGCGCTTTCCATACATAAGAAAGCTTAGGATGGATGGGCAGGGTCTGCAAACTGAGGCTCCCAGGCCAAATCCAGCCTGCTAACTCGTTTCACATGGCCTTTCAGCTAAGGATGGTTTCTCACTTTTCAAATAGTTGAAAACAACCAAAAAAAGAGAATAATTTGTGATGCAGAAATTTTATAAGATTTGGATTACAGTGTTTTTATTTTATTAATCCTCACCTGAGGATATGTTTATTGATTTTAGAGGGGGAGGGAGAGAGAGAGAGAGAGAGAGAGAGAAACAGAGAAACATCTATCGGTTGTCTCTGGTACGAGCCCACAGCCTAGGTGTGTGCCCTGACCGGGAACTGAACCCGCAACTTTTCAGTGTACAGGGTGATGCTCCAAGCAGTTGAGCCACCCGGCTAGGGTGGATATCAGTGTTTTGAAAGAAAGCTTTGTTGGAACAAAGGCACACTTGTTTGCTTCAGCATCATCTGTGGCTGCTTCCCAGAGGCAGAGTGGAGTAGCTGCAGCAGAGACCCTGCTCCTGTAAAGCCTGAAGGATTTAGCATCCAGCCTTTTCAGAAACAGTTCACACCTGGGGAGGGGCAGACTCTGAGCTGGGTGCCTGGGTTGACATCCTGGCTCTATCCCAGCAGAACAGTATGACCTGTTCAGGTTACTTTTCCTTTGTGCCTCTACTTTTTTCACCATAAAACGAGACAGTAGGTACCTACCTCAGGGGGGCTGTGGTGCAGATTGAGTGAGTGCATGCGTGTCAAGTCTTAGAACAGTGCCTGGCACGTAGTACACAATGTATACGCCATGTGTTTCCATTTTACAGATGAAGGCACTTAGGCTCAGAGAGGTTTAAACACAAACAAAAGCATGCTTTGTCTGTCAGAGTCATCGCCCACTGCTGGGCACCCAGCCCCTCTGCACATACCTCCCGGCCTCACCTTAGACACGTTCTCTCCCACCCATCCTGATCTTCATGCTGTCGCTGAAGAGGTCCCTCAGACAGATCCTGGCCACCATTGCTCTCAAGCAAGGCCCAGGAACCCCAGTAACACTTATAGAGTACCTCTTAAGCCAGGCACCTGCCACTTCACGGATGAAGAACCTTGGGCTCCAAGTCATTATAGCCTTTGTCCAAGACACAGGCAGGCATGGTAGGGATCGGGATTCAAATGCAGATCTGAGACCTCGGCTCTGTGGTTCTGCCTCCTTCTGGCTCTGCCACTTTCCCCAGGAGCTGTGTGGCCTTGGGTAAGTCACATAACCTCTCTGGGTATCAGGCTGCTTTTCTTTAATGGGATGAGCTTGAATTATATGGCCTCTCAGATTTCTTTGTCCTGAGGTCTATGCTTAGGCCACCTGACTAAGATACCCCAGGAATGGCAATCAGGAAAATGCCCTCTTCTTCATTACCGGAAACTTATAGCTCCCAACTCCAGTAGCACCTGAAATAAATTCTGTCTGTTCTTTCCTATTCTTTTGGGCAATAGTCCCATTTCCTTTTCCCCCTTATTTATTAGGAAAAACGCCTGACATTCATTCAGCTTGTATTTTGACCCTGGCATGCATCATTTATTTCTCCTGACATCCCCAGGGGGCAGGTTCTGTGATTAGACCCATTTCACCCAGGAGCAAAGTGAGGCTCAGAGACAATAACTCACCAACCCAGTAGTAACAAGTGGTGGAGCAGGATGCAAACTCTGGTATCTCTGGTCCTGGAGATATCTTCTAGGGAGCTCCCCCAGAATGTACACCTATGAAGGTGCACCCCTGTTCATTACTGTATGCTCTCAGCCTAGAAAAGAACCAATATGTCATGGGCACAGAATAAATACTTGCTCAATGAATAAATAGTGCTCAGCACTCAGCTCTTAGTTTTACCCCAAACCTCTCTGAAAGAAAGCCTGCTTTTTATTGGGGTTTGCCTGGAGATAGAAGGTAATTAAACCAATCTTTATTCAGTGCCCGTCTTGGGCTTGGCTCAGTGGGGTTGCAGACTGGAGGGAAATCCACCAATGCGTCATTGGATTGGAAAGGGCCCCGGGCTGGGCTTGCAGTGCTCAGCTTTCAGCCAATTTCCCGGCTGGGGCCTGGGAGGGCCCCCTTGGCTCCCATAGCTGTTCTTGATGAGTAAGTGCGAGTAAGGAGCTGCTCCCCAGCCTGCCTCCAGCTTTGGCTAACTCAAGGAAGCAGAGAGCTGGGCCTTGGTGCCTTTTTCTAAGGTCTTTTGTCTTCTTCTTTAAATTTCAGAGAGAGGAAGGGAGAGGGAGAGAGAGAAACATCGATTGGCTGCTTCCTGCAGGCCCCCTATGGGTATTGAGCATGTGCCCTGACAGGGAATCGAACCAGCGACCTCCTGGTGCATAGGACGATTGCTCAACCAACTGAGCCATGCAGGCTGGGCTCTAGGGTCTTTTAAAATCTCCTCCTTTACTCTCTTGGCAAGGCAGAGTCACTGGGGTGCTGGTTATGGTCCCATTCTGTTTCTCAGTTCCAAAGGGCAGGGTCAGAGTTGGAGCTAGAAAATATCATTGGAGTTATCCTGCAGTCTCAGTGGGATGGTACTGCCCGACCCCGTGAAATGTGTGGGAGCTATATTTGTTGCTCCGATGATGAGAGGGCATTAGTGGCATTGAGTAGAAAGGGGCAACGAATGCCAAATGTGCTGTAATGTGGGGGAGGGTCTCATTCAAAGATCTGTGTTGCTCAAAATGCCATTGGTGAGACCAAAGAGAAACTGTTCTAGACCAATTTCTTCCTCGTACAGGAGGGGAAACTGAGGCCATAGAACTTCCATATAACTCAGCTAAGTCACACACCTTTTCATGGCAGCCACGGGGCCCTTCTAGTCTGTAGTCCTGCAAGGTCTAAGCTAGTCAGCCTGTGGAGCTGGGCCTCTGGAGGAGTGAGGGGATGGGACGCAGCTGAGGGCTGAGGACAGCGAGTCCCTTCGTGGGAGGCATCTGAGGTTGTCTGGCAGGCAGACTGCCAGTGCTGGTGTTGGCATGAGATGAGGGTGGGGCAGAGAGAGGGCCTAGATATGCCAGTCTCCTAAACAGTGACAGCAAGGACTGCAAGCTCGAAAAGCCCTTCCCTCATGCCGTGAACTGTGCTAAGTGCTTTTTATTTGTGATTGTGCGTGGTTATCATGGTGGTTCTGAGAAGATATTTTACAAGTGGGAAGCAGATATTTTACAGGAAAGTTAACTTGCTCAGATTCCCACAGTTAATAAGAGAAAGAGATGGGATTTGAATCCAGGACTTAGATTATTGAGAGCATTGTTTTTGCAAACTCTGGTGAGCAGCCAGATCAACTGGAGGGCAAATGAATGAGATCCCGGGGATTCTGATGTGACCAAAGTTTGAGAGCCACTGTTTTAAAGGAAAGCGAACCGAAAGGTGAAAGGACTGCAAAGTTTTAGCCTTGACCGCTATTTGATTCCCTACATACTTTAAGGGAGGTTGTGATGAATGGTCTCCCCTTTGAGCTCCCATGGCACCTGAGGGATGGGGCTAGCAGAGCCATCATCATAATACACTGTATGTGTGTATTGTCCCCCGCATGCCCCTCATTGGCCACTGTGGGCTGTTTAAGGACAGGGAGTGTCTTACTCTTTGAGAACTCATCCATGCCTATATCCCCACTACCTGCCATAGTATATGTGCTCATAAAACTTTGTTGTTAGAATCAGCATTTCAGGAATGGAAAGGACCCAAGAGGTTGTCAAGGCTCTCTGTGCACCTAATTTCTGAGCCTCTCCTGTAAGAGTTTATTTAGACTGGGCTTGAACCCCTGCAGTAATGAGCAACACATTGCTCCTTTAGCCATTCCGTTCCATTCTAACAGCACCGAATGTTCGCGAGCTCTTTGTTATTTGTCACCAGCTTTCACCACCTGTATTGCTTCCAGCCCTTGGAGACACATAGAATAGATCTAATTACACTCCCAGTGTTTGAAGACAGGGCTTTTGTCTTTAAGGATTTTCTTTTCTAAAGCTGAAAACATCTCCAGTTTCTTTGGGCATTCTATACAAGGGTTTTAGGTTTTTTATTTTATTTTATCCAGGTCATTGTTTTTCAAAAAATACCTTTCCCCCTATCCTTTCCAAAGAAGGATGCCCACATCACAAACGGTATTGTGGATGTGTCCCAACCAAATCATTACAGGGTGGTTTCATTACTCCCTTTTTCTAGACTCCCTACATCTATTAATGATGACATCAAGCACCTTAGCTTTTTAAAAAATGACTGTAGAATTAAGTTAAACTTAAAGGCACTGAAAGTCTTTACTATTTTGTGTGTGCTGCTGCTAAGCCATTCCCTCCCCTTCCTACACTGTGCAATGGTTCGTTTGCCTTAGACTTGGGATCATTTTTTGATTTTGTTCAGTTCAGCCCTGGGTTTTTAAAATCCAGCACGCCACGATCTGTGAGGGTATAGTTCTTTCGTGTGGCACATCAGCCATCCCTTCCTGCTTCATCTCACTTGCGAATGAAGAGCTATTTTAGAGAAGTTCATGACAAATTGGAGGGCAAAGGCTTCTTCTTCTTTGGGGAAATTTTTCTAAAGGTCATAATTGCTGATTTTTTAACCCTTGAGTGACAAGCATGCCTGCCTTCATCTCTCTTCCCTTCATCCTACACCTGTGACTGCATATCTCTGTCTGTCCTTTACTCACATGACCCTGTGCCACCCCTGTCATTGAAGACATCTCTGGCTTGGCTTCCTAATGGTCCCACCCACAGGAGAGTATCAATGACTGAGGAGCCTGAGGGTGTCTTATGTTCAGATTTCCATTTCATGAGGAAAGTGGCTTAATAACCTCAAGAAATGACCTAGGAAAGGCAAAGCTTCATGCTTTAGTAGAATCTGTAGGTGGAAATTGAGGAGGGGGAGATGGTGGCCATTTAAAAGGAACATTCCCCCAGTGCTCCTCATATCATGCTTGACCAGGGTCAGGGATGAAGTCGAATTGATGTCCAGGCCCTATTTTCTGCTCCTGAATTCTCTAAGACATGCGTCTTTCCTTTTCTACCAGCACTGAATTAGACAGAACAGCTAGTGTCATGGTTACCATCACAGCCTGCAGAGCCCATCTGTTGGCTGGGAATCCTCACTTCACCCCTTACTAAGTGTTGTGACTTTGGCTCTAGGCCTTGCTTTCCTTATCTGCAGAATCGGAATTATAGCGATTCCTGTCCCGTCGAGGGGTACTTAATGAGATGACACATAGCCATGTCTGTTGTACACAGTCAACAGATATTAGCTACTGTTATCATTCTGTCTCTTCGCCAAGTTCACTGAACTTCCTCTCTTTTAAGTGCTAAGATGTGCATTTCCTCTCCCCATTCTTTCTTTGCCAAATCCCTGGTCACCCTACAGAAGTGGTCACTTGTGACTTCTCCCTTCCTCAGGCCCCACCCTCTACCTGCTTCACTTGCTCCTTAGTTCCTCCGGAGTGAATGTTTTCATTACCTTCTGATTTTACATAATTACTCTTTTCAAAAGTCCTTGTGGCTTCATAAGAATTCAACGTTGGCACTTGGCACTTGCTGTAATTAGTGACATTTAATTTTTCTACTTCAGTATGGAGAAAGAGATGATATATGTAGATTTTATACTGGGATAAAAGTTACCGAGAGTGAAAGAAAAGCCTTGGCAGAGANAGTAAAGAGATGATATATGTAGATTTTATACTGGGATAAAAGTTACCGAGAGTGAATGAAAGAAAAGCCTTGGCAGAGATAACTTGCTTTTTTCTTTTTTTTTTTTTAACCCCTGAATCTTTTTTTTCCCCCATGAGTGACTTCTTTCCTCCCTGAAATACTTCCCCAGTTACCCATCTAGAGCTAAGGAAGGAAGGATGGACTGAAAGCCATCTGAGGTGGGTGGGATAGGACAGGATTGAGGGAGGCAGGGTTAGTTTGCGTGATGGAGGCTTCAACTTCTGGCCTGGCCGCTGAACGTCGCATCTTCCTCTTGCCTGTTTCAGGAAACGGTTTCTGTTCTCCGTTAGTCATTCCCACGGCCGGTTCGTGGTGGCCACAGCCGCTTACAAATGACTTCGTTTTCATGGCCATTTCCATTCTCACAAGCTGCAAAGGCAACTATCTCCATGGGGATGTTCCTGGGGGATGTCGTGCAGTTTATAGGGCCATACGTATATTTTGCATGTAATTTACATATGATTTGCAGTCTGTTCTAAGGCAGTTTCAACTTTGTATGTCTTACAGTCTTACAGTCTTACCTACCGGCAATCTTTTTCTCTCTCTTTTTTTAAATTCTCACCCTCAGGTATTTTTTGCTTTCCTTTTCAGAGAGAGTGGAAGGGAAAGAGAGAGAGAGAAACATCAATGTGAGAGAGACACATGGATTGGTTGCCTCACGCACGCACCCCAACTGGGGCCGGGTATCGAGCCTGCAACTGGGGCATCAAACCTGAAACCCTTCAGTCTGGGGCCGACGCTCTAACCACTGAGCAACACTGGCCAGGGCTCTCCTCTTGTCCTTAAATGTACCCTGAGAACCTGCACACCACACACACAGACAGGCGCAGAAGGCTGAATACAGCTCTGGGAAGAGTGAGGGGAAGGGTAAAAAATAGCAGACACCTTGAGATCCAGCATGGTTCCTGGCTCCAGCTAGGGTAGCACTTTGTCAGAGTGACATCTAGATAGGAGACACTTCGGTTGCTTTCTAATTTTTTTGTAATTATTTTTAAAAAGGCATTGTACTTCCATAAGCATTCTGTTGGCAGTTCTTAATATCCTGCCTGTCAAAGCGTCATCCAAGCCCACCTCCTGTTTCCTACCCACCGTTAGTTAAACTTGTATGGAGCGGGCTTCTGAGTGTTAGCTGAGGATCTATGCAAATCCAGAGCCCACAGTGAGGCTGTTTTGGAAAGAGGTGGTCTCCTTTGCTTCCCCGAGCCCCTGTTTCAGTCCATGTCTTGTCTTCCAGCAGCCCTTGAAAATCAGGCCCAGAATAAATGCCAAACTTCAAACCCAGCCAGGGTGCTGGTTCCAGGGCTGGCTGTGTGGCCTGGGGGGCCACTGGCGATGCACAGTTTGACCCTCTGTCTGAGGCTGGTGACGATGCCTATCTTCCTTTCCCTTCCGCATCAACCACACACATAACACACACCCAGCCGGATTCCTTGCTCTTTCTTACTAGTTATATTCTCCGTCAAGATTTTTTGAGCATTATTTTCTTATCTGTGTTGGAAAGCCATATTGTTCCTTTTTTAATCTAAGATTTTATGCTTTTAAAAAAAAGAACTTCCAGGATATCTTAGTATTTCTGTCCCGCCAGACTAAGACCAGTGCTCCAGCCCCGTTTTCTTTGAGGATCCCTTTACTTACACGGGCACAGATGTCTCTCTCACGAAGGGGAGGTGATACACCCTTGTGTTGTCCTGACTTTCTCACAAACCTCAGTCCTGCACCCTAGGCATTTTCCTCGAGTGATTCCTGTTCCTTCAGCTCCTCATGCCTGAAACAGGACTCATTACTCCCTCACTGCGGCTCCACCTCCCAACTCCACCCCCCTTTCCCACGGTGCTTCACTCAGTCTCCCATTGCTGCTCCCTGAAGCATCTCCTTGGACCCAAAGCCTGTTGAATCGTCTTTTCCCTTTTCTGTCCGCTGCCCTGATAGTAATTTAGGCCCTTGTCTACCACTGATCTTTCTAGCTCCACCTTCCCTCTTGCTCTTCCTGTCCACACCATCGCTGAAACAATCTTCCCCAGCATCATTTCCCTGGGTCATTCTCCTGCTCGGGAGCCCTCGGTGTCCCCCATCAGCTGCAAGATCAAGTCCATCGTCCTTAGCCTTAAAACTCAAGGTGTCCATCCAATGGCTCCATCCATCCCCTGACCCTTAAGATCACCTTTTACTTCTTTCTTACATGAACTGTTTATATGTGTTCATACCTCCCATGTGCCTGGCAGGGTCCTAGGTGCTTCTGGGAAGTTGAACAGGAAAGTCCTTACAAAAGCATTTTGCGGCCTTGGGAACTAATGGTGCTACCTGGAATGCATTCCATCTGAGTTCTAAACCATCGTTCAAAGGCTGTTACACACTTCCCTTTCCTCCAGAGGACTTTTCTGTGCCTTCAGGGCCCTCCTCACAGTCCTACTGTCCTTATTGTCTGAATTCATCATTTGACACTGAGCACTTAACCATTCGTCCCCTCCTCACTCAATCACCAAGTACATCCTGAGCACCTACTGTTGTGTCAGGCACTATGCTAGGTGTGGCCTCACACATCAGTATGTTTTTATAGCACAATAAGAATAAACAATAGCATTTATATAGCCCTTAGCAGGTGCAGGTACAGCTTTATTTGTTTACTTAATCCTCAAAACAACCTATGAATTTGGCATTATTATTATCCAAATTTTACAGATAGGGAAATCAAGGCACAGAGATGTTTAACAACTTTCCTAGGGTCAAAAGCTAGACAGTAACAAAGGTGGGATTCAAATCTGCCTCTGAAGTCCTTGATCTTAACCCTTACACTTCACTGTCAGGTACATATGTCTTATGTGTGTTTGTAGAGAATAAATGCATACATACACCTTTCCAGCTAGACTCTGGAGTCCTGGAGGCTAGTGACCATGCACCCTACTGCCGTATATCCCCACTACCTTAGCCAGTCTTTGCGCATGGTAGCTACTTGAATCTTTTGGCTGATTGATTGTTGGCTTTTGCATTCACTTTTTGAGAGGGGGCTATGATTTTTAGCAGCAAATAGGAGTGTTTCAGGGTGGAAGGGGGCTAGCAACAGAATTTCAGAAAAGACCTGGAGTTCCTAGAATTCTTGGTTTCCAGTTCTCAACCCTGCAGCTATGAGAATAGTTTTTACAAGAGAAGATAATGATGTAAAAGCTCTTGAAAGTGGAATAAAATTCCCTTCTCAAAAAGCAAAATAAAACTCAAGCCATATTATGGATGCTCGGTTTCTCGCTCCCTCACGCTGTTTCCCACTGTACATTCCTGTTCACGTCCATTTTTCCTTTATTGCCTGCAACAGGATCCCAGATCTGTATTCTTGGCCTAATATTTCTACTTAAGATTTTTATAAGTTGAAAAATAGGAACATTTTATTCGAGTTGCAATGCTGCCACTACATATGTAGCTTAATAAAACCTGCTAAGTACATATTTGAATTTTAAAGACACAGGTGGTGGGTTATTTGCATTTTAAAAGGATTCTTCCTTTTGCAGAAAGATCCACTGCATGGTTCCATTAAATATCCAATACCTCTTACTGCATTTGTCATACAATTTTACTTGAACAAAATTTGATTTATATGCCACTCTAAAGGGGTAGCTCTCAAGTTCTAGTAAGCATAGGAATCACTTGAGCACTTGTTTCAAATTCAGATCTTTCTCCCAACTCCTCTCCAAGATTCTGATTCATTAGATTAGGGTGAGGCTCAGGATCCTCAGAGTTAATAAGCATCCCCTTGTGATTGATGAAAGTGGTCAGTAAAATACACTTTGACAAATACTGCTCTAAAGAAACATATTTGTAG